TGTGTGTGTGTGTGTGAGAGAGAGAGAGAGAGAGAGAGAGAGAGAGGGAGAGAGAGAGACAGAGAGAGAGTGTTATGCATGAGAGCATTCATGGTGAAGGGTTAGTCACTGCCAAAGCATTATCAGACCCAAGGTCAAGTACTGAATGTCCCTGACCAGCTCTTCCTACAGAGGCTCTACTCTTAAACTGGTGCACCTCCCTGACAAAGAGATCTAAACCATTTTTAATGGGAAATCCTAGTCGTGTGTGTAGAAGAGCTTATACAAAGTTTCATTCAGGACACACGCTACAAATGCCACATTTCCCCTGGAAATACTGGTGTGTTTGTTGTTAATTTTTCTTTTTCTCTGATGCACACCATCAGGTTTGCATTAGAGACTGCTTACACTGATATGAATGGACTGGTTTGTGTTCACTTACTTAGCAACAAGGGAGAAAATTCTTCAGGTTAGAAAAGAGAAAAAATTTAAAAATTATAATCTGTGCTAAGAAACATCCTGCCTTGTACCTCTAATGGGAGGGCTTGTTAAAGAGGGAAGTATTAAAATTCATTTGTGCCCAGAGGTGATTTTATTCTAGCTCTTGATGTCTTGCAGCTTCAACCTGGATATCCCAGAGTTTTGCTTCCCATTACTAAGTGGTGTTTTAAATTTTTTTGTAATTTTTTAAAACTTTCTTTCAAGTTATTTTTTTTCTAGTTTCCTTCACATAAAAAAAACCAACTTGGTTGAATATTTCCCTTTGTTACTTATCTTTCTGCCTTTAAATTCTCATCATAGAGAACAAATTCTTAATAATATCTACTATAAGCATAAATGAAATCATCATAAACAAGTTTAATGTATTCATTTCTGCTTTCTCCCTAAGAAAAATCCTTCTCCAATATTAATGGACACCATGAAGTTGCAAAATGAAGATCTGTGGAACATGCACACTCATGGATACATACGTGTGTCTGTGCTATACGTATGTGTTAAACTCTCTTGTCTTCTGCCTGTAACAGAAGACAATGAGCATTTCAGTGCATTTCAGTGACGAGTCCAACAGGCATCATGTGAAGGAAGAAGAATGGAACTGGGCAAGAGACTGGGGTGCTATAAACTGGAAATGGGCACCTGGGAGCTGGTAGAGGCAGGCAGTGTGAAGTGGGCACAGAATGGAGGAAGAGCGAAATAAAGAAACACAGGAAAACCACCCAGGATTTTGATTGATAGGAATTTATATGAATGCAGACAAAACACTTGCTATTTTCTGATTGTGCAGCACTTAGGATGAATTCAGAGCCTCTGTGGAGTTTCAGCACATTAGGAAACTTGTTCCAGCCTGTTCTGAAAGTGGCATTGTCAGGGCACAAGTCCACAGGGGTCCGGAATGAGTCACTGGGCCATGGACTCTGGAAGAGCAAGACAGTGTGACCCCGTTGTGCACAGAGCGGAGCGTGATGCAGCCTGGGCTGACCTTAGTCATGTCCATCCTTTCGCCAAACACAATCAGGCCCAGACATCCGTTAGTCTGTGCTGGGCACTGCCTGGTAGAGTCTTGGAAGAAGTGCAGATTATAGAGGCATTTAAGAGGAAGCTCGGAGTTTCACTGGAGGTGGGGGCGTGGGGCAGGCCTGAGGGTGACTGGTTCACCATCAGAGCCAGATGAAGAGGCCACCATGATGCTGTGCTCGACGTCAGATGATTCCATGCAGGGAGAATGGGTTCTGCTCTGGGCTGCTGCGTGAAAGATGCTGGTGGGATTTCTAGGTAGAGAATTTTAGTGGGTATTTATATTCACAAAGCTAAAGCTCCACACAGAAGAAGAGCAGTCATTGGCAAGTGTGCACGTCTCCAAAACAGAGAAAAGAAGGCTCAGGTGGAACCCTGCCCCTCCCTCCAAAAGTAACAGGTGATGAGTGAACTCCTGAGGATGTGCGGGGCACACAGGAGGAGGAAATGCGACCCAGGTGTTCTGCAAGACCAGGGGAGAAAGTCTTCAGAGGACAAAGAAATGGGCCCTGCAGAATGTGCTGGAAGTGCTGTGGTCAAGGCCAGGAAAGGATCCCTTGAAGCTCTCATCCGTGGTCTTGTTGCAGACCCAGAGCCTACGGCGTGGCTGATGTGCAGGTGGTTGATACTGTGCTAACTGCACCCCTGGAGCCCGCTTTTGAAAAAAGGTGGCTGAAAAAGATAGACAAGCATGTCATATGAATTAGACAGAAATGTGAAATCAAGTGAGGCTGTTATTATTATTATTATTATTATTATTATTACTAATTTGATTTTGAGTTTAGATTGTTTCCTTTCCTATATTTATCTTTTTTCCATATTTTTATTGGCTCATTATAGCTGTGCATATTGGTGGGACTCATGCATGCACACAACATGAAAGTAGAATTTGGTCAGTATCAATCTCCAGTAGTTCCTTTTTCCCTCCCTGGTTGATGCTGGACACTGTGGTTGAAGGACATGTGTCTGCAGTTGACACAGATGGCTCCTGTCCTCCTCCCCCAGACTTTCCAGCCAACAGAAAGACTCAGGCCGTCTTTCAAATAGAAAACAGCATGCATGCCCATGTTGAGAGCAGCAAATTCACAATAGCTCCTTTCCTCTACTCTACTGATAGAGTACTACTCCCTAGGATTTTGCCTCTCTAGCTCCCACACATGAGAGAAAACATACAATTCTTGACCTTTCGAGTTTATCTTATTTCAATTAACATAATGTTTTCAAGTTCTATCCATTTTTGTGAAAATTGCATAATTTCTTCTTCTTTTTTTTAGGCTGGATAAAATTTCATTGTGTATATATACCACATCTTCTTTAACCATTCATCCATTGATGGACGTCTAGGCTGGTTCCATAGTTTGCTATTGTGAACTTGCTGCTCTCAACATGGGCATGCATGCTGTTTTCTATTTGAAAGACGGACTGAGTCTTTCTGCTGGCTGCAAAGTCTGGGGGAGGGGGACAGGAGCCATCTGTGTCATCTGCCAACTTAGGGCCTTCAACCACCGTGCCCAGCATCAAGCAGCCAGGCAGCACATGGTGCTGGGTGCATGGAAACAGGAGTGAGCTAGGAATGCACAGGAGCAAGAGGATCATGGAGGACCAGCCCTCTTTCTCCTTGGTGCTTGTTCTATTCCTCTCCCTTTGTCCTTGTTGGTCCATGGGAACTTGTGGGCTTGCTCTGCAGGAGGAGTCCTGAAGGGCCCAGCATGCACAAGGCTCCTCTGCACATGACTGAGGCAAATTGTTCACTCTCTGAAACAAGCTCCTGTGAGCTGGATTGTGACGTCCTTCACAGGTCTTCTCGTCTCCCGTCCTTCATAGGGTATCCTTTTCCACTTCACCGGCATGATATCCTAGGTTGTTCTGCTTCCTCTCTTTTTTCTCTAATCGAACTCAGCTTTACTAATCCCAAACTGACACTTGGATCCTTGCTGTTGGTGACTTCATTAAAAGAGGAAGATCTGAAGGGACACCACTCTGAAAGTCCAGGAGCAGTGATGGTTGCCTTTGACCTTGCTCTGTTGGCAGGGCCCTGAGTTTCAGGGTTGATAGAACAGTGTTTAGAAGCACAGGTTTCTCTAATCCACCGTCCACTTATTCATAGAGTCCCTGTGGATAGGTGGAAAGGGGAACTTGTCCAGGCATCCATCTCTTATTGACTTCTGAGGTCATCCTGGGCTCCTCGCAGGGTCTGATGGTTCTGCCTTTTCAGCTCCAGGAACCTCCTTCTGCCGGGCTTCCTCAGGATCCCTGCACACTTCCTGCCCCCTCAGCAGGAAATCCTGCGAAGGATCTGTTCTGGGTTCGCTCAGAGCTTCTGCTCCCTCCAGAATACGGGATGCTCTTCCACATAACAGCTGCAAACTGACAAAGGACAGGAGCCCAACCAAACAACAAGCACCCAGCGCGCGCACACACACACACACACACACACGAGGAAGGAGGGGCTTCGGGGATTCACACACACCCAGCTTTAGTGACCAAAAAATAAAATCCAGGCCCACTTGGACCAGACAAAGTCCTTTTTTTCCAAAAGATAGCATGATGTAAGAATATACGATATGCATGAGTCATGCTTCTGTAATTCAGAGGAGTGACTCTGGACAAGTTATTTAAACTTTCTAAATCCCAGATGCCTCATATATTTAATGGAGATATCTTGATGGCTGTTGAAGGGATTAAGCCAGATAACTCATATTAAAAGCTTAGCTGAGTGGCTGGCACCCAGCGAAACACTTACTACCCAAAATAGTAATTATTAATTACCCTACTTTGCCTATAGGAAATGCTGCTGCTTTAAGAGCATAAAAGATTCCTCCCGAGTGCAAGAAGGGTCATGCTATTTGTGGAGAACCACAGAGAGGAGAATCCTTGTTGAGCTATCGATCTGCTTGGTGCTCTGGGGCTTGCAATGGATCATATCAATAACAGCTTGATTCAACTCAGTATACTTTTAGTGCTTTCCATGTAGAGCAATTCTGCTGTTCTGACAGAGGCGAAGCATTTCTCTCTCTTCATTTATCCAAATATAAGAAACTTTGCATTGTTTTTTCTACCACAGAAACATTGGGGCCTTGAGTTGCATTTTTCATCTCTGATCTAGATGTTCAGAGTGTAGACAGAGCCTCAGAGCTTTTCAAGGAAATGGGGAAATAAAGACAAACAATTTAGAATGGGGTGCAACAGAACATTTGTGATGATGGATTTAATCCTAAGCCTAAACCCAAAGCCAGGTGCATAATGTCACTTGAGCCACATGGTTATAAACTTGTCATCCCCACGTGAAACCACTACAGACAGGTGACATCCTGAAAGTGAGCTCAGCTAGACACAAAGGACAGTCACCCCATCTTCAGCTGTGCTCACACTCTCAGCAATACCAGGAGCAAGCGCAGTTGATGTGAAGCCAAGAGCCCTGACGTCACTGGTCACCGTTGAGTGTGAAAGACAATATGCACACACGGAATAAAAATAACCACCAGCCGACCTACTCAGCCCGGAACCTGAAGTTGGTTGACACGTAAAGCCAAAAAATGTTGAGAATGTATGGAAGCTTGGATTTCCCTGTCATTTTCTGTTTGTTCTCCCTGCTCTTCCCTCTTCCCTTCCTCCATTTTTAAAGCTCTAAACAGGGGGACCCACCGAGAAGCCCACCGAGGCTCGTTAGGGTCATGGGCATGAGTCAAACCCGAGGGACAGGTGAACACACTGCCACTTTATAAGCAAAGCTTCCAGATGCTGCAAAAGCTCCATTCGATGGACACAGAGTATAAAAAGAAAGCCACACAGACAGGATGCAGGAGTGGCGCTGCTCAGAGTCACACCGAGCGCTCCGCGGGCAGCCAGAGCGCAGTGCGATGAAAGGCAAGCTGCAAAAAGACTTTGGCCAGAGCCCTCGCACAACAATTAGGAGTGAAAAGGCTCCACACAGCCTGCTCCTGAGTGGCAGGGGCAGACGTGGCTGCGGGGCCCCAGGCAAGAGGTGGGAAGCAAGGTGCATGGCTGGGCACAGCTCTGGGGCCCTTCATGACTGCCCAGCCACTCTTTCTCAGCAGCGGACCTGGTTTTAACCCTGCACTTTTATTATTTGGTTCTTAAATTGGCTTAACTCTAGTAGGTTGTTTTGTGAGAATTTCAAGTGAAATGATAAGTTTTGAAAGGAAATCAAAAGTGGGCACCTTGCTTGGCCTTACTCTGGGGAGAGTGGGGGTAGGACATGGGACGGCATCCTTCCTGTGAGTTTCGAGACTCTCCGTGCTTCCCACACGGTCCTCTTCCTCACACACCTCCGTTTCTATGCACGAACTGATTTCACAGATCAGATTCACATGTGTCTGTCATGTGAACAGGCATACCTCTGTGACTTGTCAATTCAGCTGACTGTCCCTAAGTTCTAAGCCCTGTAAGCTCTACCCAGAGATTGAGATCATCAATAAACAAGTCCTTTAATCATCCGAATCCCTTCCTTCTCCTGCAGAACCTCCTGAGTGCAGACCACCCATCTTCTGCTGGACCACTGCGGAGACCACAGCTGCTCTTCTTCCTTCTTTCCTTCCTGCCATCTGGTGTCCACACAGAGCCAGGGTGGGCTTGCAAAACTCGACTCAGTATAACATCTCTTACTTTAAGCCCCGCAGCAAGAGAAACCTATGGATCTAAAGAGACTAAAGCAAAACATCAACCAGTTGCAATAGTTATGAATAAGGTCTAGACCTCATTGGACCCTGATTTGAACACACTAAGATAAAAGTTATACACACATTCAACTTTCAAATGAAAAGCCAGGCCTGTGGCTCCTCCAGCCTCATCTCCTGGCTCTTCTCGTGTCCACCGTATTGGTTTCCTCAGGCGCCTCCAACCCCGGCAGCTCTTTCCTGGCCTCAGGCCTTTGTGCTTGCTTGTCCCTGGGCTTGGAGCATGGATTCTCTGGAAGGTCACAGGCTGGACGTCTCGCAGCACGGAGGCCTTATCTCCATGCTGCCCAGAGGTTCCCCAGAGCCATCCCCTGTCCTGCCTCTGGTCACCCTGTTGGTCCCCGTCTGATGTGTTGTCCAGGCTCTCTTGTTCAGGCCAGCCTTCCTGCAGCAGCCCCCAGCTCCTGGCAGCTGGGCTTGCTCTGGGCCTGAGGCATGGTAGGCATTCAGGAAATGCTTGTTGGATGAGTAAATAAATGTGGCGGTCCCCAGCGACAAAGCACGTCCTGTCCTGTGTGTGGTGAACCTTTTGCTTTTCTCTCTTCTCACAGTTAGATTACAGGGACAGAAAGAAACGGTTGATCGTCTTCTTATCCTCTCCCTCTTCCTCTGTCTTTCTCTGAAAATTGAAAAGGGAGAAAATGAGAGAAGACTAAATATGCACCACCTGCCTGAAGGGCCGACTCCTGTTAGTGGCAAACTGCAGAAAGTAGACAACTGGGGGTGGGAGGTAAAGACAAAAATAACCCCTCCACCTTCTCCCTTCTCCCTTCTTGGTTCTCTGTACCAGGACCACAACTCAAAAACTCCAGCCAGGTTGCCAACAGGGAGGACCTGTCAGGACTCGCCCTGAAGAACGGACACAGGCCTCCCTCCCTACCTCAGAAGCATCTCACTGCTTTTCTCTTGTTCTTCACTTCATGATCCCTCCCTCCAGCCATGGCCTTCTGCCTCCTCCCCTCGTGGCTTCTTTGTTTTAATGCAGGGTCACGTCAAAACAGCCGCTTTTGATGTTCTACCAAATATCATTAAAAATGAAACATGTATGTTACTCCAACGCTGTGTCCTGTCGGTCAGTCGCAGAGGACACACTTTGCCTCAGGGGACAGAGCCCTGGGAGGCAGGGGGTTAAACTCATGTTGAATTTGCTCACAGATGGATGCACTGGCTTTTCCTTTATCTGGGAAGCCTGCATCCCGAGGACTGCAATAACAAATATTCAGGAAGCTGCATTCGCTGTGAAATTTAACAAAGGGAATTAGCCACAGTACGTGAACAGTAACTTTAAATAGCAGAAGTGACAAAGAGAACCGTGGCTGATAAAAGAAAACCGGTAATTACAATATTAGTACCCTTTCCACATTAAGTTTCTAAACTATATTAAAAGGTTGCTCACAATTCCACCCTTCCTTTCTCCCATCAAAATAGAGCAAAATAAAATATAATAGAGACAAATTGCTTTTCTGGATCATTTGTATGAAACAGCACAATCAGTGTAAACTATTCTTACACATAATGTGACTTCTAATAGTAAAAATTAATTTTAAAATATTTTTTAAAAAATCTTCAAATATTTTCATAGACTATTTTACCATGCCAGCCTCAAGGGAGGAAGAGTAACAAACCTCATTTTTCTCAGCCTTCTTCCACGAAGAATGGACTATAGCTTTTCTCTTTAATATTTAATCTAAACTTTATTAATATTTTTGGAAATGAAAAGATGTTGGGTCTAATTTATGCCCACCTCCAGGATTTCTGGAAAGCCCGGCTCCTGTGATGTAAGGCTCACATAAAGGGCTGCACCAGCTTGAGCCTTCTTTATTATCATTTTAGTTCAGCCATATTTTTTTGTTTGTTGCATAAAACAGTGATCAAAAGCAAGCACCCACACTGAAGCTTCTCACAGAGCACTGGGAAGGGAAAGCAGAAGAATGGGAGATCTGAGCTGCTATGATTCTGCTTGCAACCATCCAGCTGGTGAGAAAACAGGAGGGTGCTTTACCCTGGAGGCAGCCTTAGGAGTAAGATGCACAGAGTCCTCCTCATACACCTGCACCCACCCTGCTCCTACTTACTTGATGAGCCCCTCTCCGTCTTAGCTAAGCCTTCTCTGAAGCTCAGACATCGTCATGTGAGCATCCTGACATAGGTGGAATGAAAATCCACAAGAAGCAGGGAATGTTTAGAAAAGTAATCACTTAAAGGAGTTAGGGTACATCAATCCCTTGAAGGCCTGTCAATGGGAGATAAAGTAAATGTATTCTGCATGATTCTAGAAGGGCAGAACTAAGACCGGCAGGTAGAAGTTGCATGAAGTTTCATGACAAAATATCATAATTCAACAAAAGAATGTTCTTAGAAATAGTTACATCTATCTGCTCACAAAGGGAAACAGATTTTCTTGTAAAGTATACAGCTCTCGGTCCCTGGCAGCACTCCAAAGTCATGGGTGGATGATGTCCTTGTCAGGGATGCCATGGGAAGGGTCTGTCCCGGTGTCAACCATTCATAAGATGACCACATGGAGAAACTGCGGCTGGTCCCCTGAAGTTCAGCATCTTCCAACCATGGTAGAAAGTAGTCACTGAGCAGTGGTTGCTCTGCTGGGGACATCACTTCTCAGCCTCATTTGCACGTAGTTAGTTGGGGTCTGGTGATCAGCCCCGATCATCAGGAAGTGAGCAGAAGGAATGCTTGGTATTTCCAGGCCCTGGTGGTTAGGAGGCCTCTCTTTGTCTTCACCCTTCTTCCTCCATCTGTGATCTGGAAGATAAAAGGACTCTTGGTTGTCGCTGGTGAAAGATGCAGTCCCAAGAAGGAAGGCGGCTCAGAATTCAGATACTGCCCATCGTCCAAGAACACCTGCATTTGGCTGATACAAAAGCCAGCATGAAACCAGTGCAATTTAGGAGCTTATTCCTCACAGCAGCTGCCGTTACCTAACCTAGCACATTCATGGAATTCCCTTCCAAATGTGAGGAGGCTGTTTGTTCTAAGAAAATATGGGTTATTTCTGGGATTTATGGATTACATAGCAATTCTAGGAATTTCTGTCTCTGGGCGTTGATTTCCCCTAAAACAAATGGTTCTGAATCTGTTTTGTTTCAACTCTAATTAAGGGCCTTTGTTCTGGGCACTTCAGCCTAACCTCTATCTGTTAATAGAAGACAGAACTCAGCAGGTGAACGGTGCCTTGCTTCACTTGATTTTCAAGCTGTTTTAGGGTAGCCTGTCATTCTTGGCCAGTGCTGGGGACACTCACTCAATCACAGGCGATTTTGAGAGACTGAGGCTACAGGCCACAAAAGGGGGCCCGGATGGACCGACATGATGATTTCTGTGTTGGGCAAGGGAGAGGTACATGAACCAGAAACCAGCAACCAGGAATTATCCTGAACAACAGCTCAGGTTACTGTCTCCTCTGACTTGCCAAGGCACTCAGAGGCACGGTCTGTGAAACTGGATTTTGCATAGATCATTCTTTTTCCCCCTTTAAAGGATGCTTAACTCCCATATAACTGTGAAGGCCAGAAACATGCTGAGGACCAAAATAGCACCGATGGTGAATGCACATAACCTTGGTTAAGCATTCGCATCATTAACTATGCTGCGTGGCCATTAAGTATTAATGTATTGAAGTTGTTTGGGTTGAAAATATGGGTCGCCTTTTGTAGAGTAGGAGCCTCAGGCAACAAGAGGCTAATTCTTTGTCAGCGACCATGTCAATCTACGGCAGAACTCGGCTCAGAAGCCGACGTGTTTATTTCCCTTGCTGCGCTCAGTTGGACTCAGAGAATGTTAGTGCTGAAAGATCAAACCTTCATCTCAAGCCAAATTCCTACAGAGGGAGGGGAAGGGATGGACAGCCAGCTTGTTTTTCTGTTGTGTGCTTAGTCTAATCTGTACATACACACGGATCCGTATTTAGACCATGTCTGTGAAGCACACTTTGCATCCAAAGTAGCTTACGCTCATCGCTATGAAATGCTACAAAGCGAGCGTCTAACCCCAAGTTATTTTCAATTCTCTTTGCTCCCATAAATCTTCCAGGGAAGAATCTGCCTGCTCCAGAAACGGAGGCTGTCCGTCAAGGACACAAAGTGTTCGTGTCTGTCCCCAGGAAAGGGCCTCTGTCATACTGGCAGGCAGAAGCGTAACTCACGGGGGCCTGATGGGTCAATATTGTCAATATGGTTTTGAGTTTGTGTGCGGCTTTTCTTTGACTAAAGAGATGGCTATAATGTATAATTAAGGCTTGGAAGACAGTGTCAGCATTTTTCCTTAGAGAAAGGGTGAGGGGGGCAGTAGTTAGAAGGGTCAAACTATGTGGATCAAACTCCTGGCTCGTCCCTTGTGCTAGCACCGTGCAGGGTGGTGACTCCAGGCAGAGAGGTACAGCTAACTGGGAAGGAGCGCAGTTACGAGACCCTGCTGCTACAGCCCTCAGAAGGGCCCAGAAGTTCAGAGCTCCTTGCCCAGAGAATAACTGAGACCAACGTCACTAAATGCTCTGTGAGCACTATGGTGGCTGCCACCTAAAATCCCACAGCTGTCTGCCTGAGAACACCCTGATGGCCACTGCCTGAGCCCGTGTCCTGGCTCTCTGCTGGCTGTGGCCCTGTGGGGCTGCCACTACAGGCCACAGGTCCCAGGAGGAGCCAGAGCCCTCCTCAGGTCCGTCTCTCCCCACCACGTTAAGAGGATCCCGAGGTGGCTCTGGGTGTGTGAACCTGTGAACGTGTGAATGGAACTGCTGCAACCCTTCCTGATTTCCTCCTTGGATCTGGTGACCCTGGGCACATGGACACCCATTCCCCTGGCTCCCCCTAGTGGCCCGTGGGACCCCAACCAGGATTCTGCTCCCTAACTCCATGCCCCATCTGAGGAGTCCCAGGTCCCTGACCAGCCACTTTGTCCAGGCTCCTCACATCCCATGCCCTGAGGACCCTCTGACTCCAGGCTCAGCTCAGCAGAAAGCTTGCTCCTCTGGGCTGAGTCGGACTCCTGCAGGGCCCTGGCCAGGGCTGCTGGCCGCCGTGCTGCCCGGGTTCCTGGTTCGCAGGGGAGTCTGGAGGCTGAAGTCAGAGGAGCCACTGATCCGGCCGGGGCAGGGCAGTGACCGGGACCCCACCTCCGCCCTCCACGTCTTGGACTGAGTGTACATGATGGCCCACTCAGTTCTCAGAAAACCACAGGAAGTAAGACCACCACCCGTGAAAGGAGCAGACCACCGCCACAGCACCATCCCAACTGAAGGAAGGACTTAGGGGCTTCCGAACCTTCTTTTTGCTGAGGATTAGAAGTTTCTTGATGTTAATTTCCCTCTTATGTTCTATATTTTTTTCATCAAAGAAATAAGGATTGTCTTCAACTTTTAAGACTTAAAGGGTTCTTGTGAGGTTAGGTGGATGACATGGGAAGAAGCACTTTGGGGTGGGGTGGCCTGGGAGGTCTGGGTCTGGCTGCCAGCTCACTGGGTCACTGTGTGGTCCCCAGCAAGTCACTAGTTGTCTGCCCTTGGTGTCTTCATCTGCATAATGTCCCTGCCGGAGAACCCCATGAGGATCAGGGGTGGCAACGCCTGGCACCCCTCAGGTAGGGCCCTCCCTGCTCCACACGACTACGACTTTCAGAGTGGCCTGAGCGCTCAAATCACGGGTGGCTTGGTCTCTAGTTTGGGCACTTTTAAGCTTCATGATTTTGACAAAGGCAAACGAATTTGATTTTGGAAATTTAGAGAAGGCGGTGCTGTCCTCCTGAGCCCTCACCCACCGGCGCCAGCTCTCCGTGTGTTTACGGCTGATGCAACTGTTGGAAATGAGAGGCTCTGCGAGCTGCATGCCTGTGGAGTGCAGTCAGGGATGGCCTCTATTTGTAGACGGCTGATTAATTCTGACCCCAGTTATCTTGGGAGGCTGGTAAGTGGCCTGTGTGAGATGTGTTTCAGGCTTCAGCCCAGTTCCTAGAGGACAGGTGTCCGCCAGAGAATGTTGGCACTGGTCTTGGAAACTGTGGGGAGACCAGGCCTCACGTGGTCCACGGGCCCTAAAGACCTCCCAACCCAGGGAAGGGCCCGCTGAGTGGAGGTCTCAGAGCTCAAGGCTGCAAACTGACAGTGGAAAAAGTGTGCGTTGGTGGTTTCCAAAGCCTGTCGGTCTCCAGTGTTTCATAAATACTAAACACAGTGGTGGGAAATACGTGCTGTAACAGAAACCATGGCACTGAACTTGGTACCTGTGATGCCAGATCGAATATCCAATTAGTCCATCTAAAGGTGCCTCGCAAACCTGTGCTCCCTGCGGGCAGGGCCAGGGGTTTCACCAGGAGGGCCTGGTGGGTAGGGGTGGCACCAGCTTGCCTAGGTCATTTCATTCAGGGACCCAGTGACAGCCACGCTTTCCTTCGCCTGTCCTGGCCACCTCTCGTGTGACCCTCCCTGCTTTATCTCTGAGTGCTGAGATTCCATATTTCCCCCATGGCGTAAACACACCGACTTGTCTTTTTCAAGGAGAGTAATTGTGCAGAGAAGTCAGGCTTGGAGGAAATTGTTACTAAATTTGTCTGAAGGGGAAATGCATCTTGTCTAGTTGATAGAAGATGGCATGCTACAGTTGTTTCCTAGCAGGTCTTTCTTGTTGTCCCTGTACCCTTGTTACAAGGAAGACACCCCAGGGAGGAGCAAAATGCTCCGTGGTGACTTATGTCTCCTGACTCCTGTCTGTGAGTTGATGGGAACCCAAATGTACATTTAAAATGAAGCCAGTTTTGTCAGTGACTGACAGAGGTTTAGAAATGATCCCATCAAGAAAGGGAGGGCTACAGGGCCCTGAGAAAGGAAAGACGTCAGCAAGGCCTTCCATGGCGTCTGTGCTCCCCCAGGCCTAGGCGGCCTGAGCTGCCCAGGGCTCCTCCCTCCGCTCATTCAGGGTCCCACATCTGGGCCGAGGAGGCCCTGGGAGCTCGCTCTCTGTTCTCTTGCTTGGGAGGTGATTGCTCTCGTGGCTGTCTTTGGCTTGCCAAGCTGCTGCTGGGGACAGAGTGCCCAAGAACCACGGTGCTTCTCAGGCACTGCTGTCACTCAAATATGGAGCGGTGGCAGCTGAAACACCTTATGAAAATAGCATGAAAATGTGCAGTGAGCCATAAATAAACAGGGAGAGACAGCCAGGGAGCCGAGCTAAGCACTGCTTTGATGTCGCATGAACTACTGTAGTTTTAAGGACCTCGTGCTTCTGAGAGCCTCTTTGGAGTCAGCCGACACTGCCCAGTGAAAGACGGGATCCACTTTCCCTCACTTCTCTCCTCCCGGTGACAGCTGTTGTCGCTTGACTCAGAGGAAAGCCATTTCTCTGCTCTCGCAGGCTTTGCAGCCCTTTCCTGGCAGGATTCCTGCAGTCATCCCCACCCCTGGGGCGGCAGAGGACGAGGACAGCCTGGGCTGGGCCAGGCTCTCCTGAGGTTCCTGTGTCTCTTGCCAGCTGGTCCCAGGACTCTGCAGCAACATCCTATTTTTAATCTCTGCTAACCTGGCTTGCTCTTGGTTGTCCCCGCTGGGAAACGGGTTCAGCTTGGCTTGTGTACCGAGGGCTCTGGAGGAGAATGGTCCGCTTGCCAGCAGAACTCGTAGAAGGAAAGCGTGGGCATCTTCAGTGGGGCTGAGCTGGGCGCTCCAGCTACACGGACGCATCTACTGTCCACTGAAAGAGAAAACGACCAACCCTGAATAGCTGATAAAAAGGGCGTAGGTTTGATAAGAACTCCATATCTTCTGTGATCTTAAGATTGTGTGGATGTCACACAGCATGGAGGAGTGTCGGAGGCTGTCTCCTTTCTGTAACTGGGTAGGTGACCATGTTCAACCCTGGCTTCAGGCAGAGTTGGTGCAGGTCCTCTGGACCACCCTGCTCAACCAGCTCAGCTCCCGGGTCCAGGAGCGCCCTCTTGTGGTGGGAAGAGTTTCAGTAGATGGATTTTTTCTTTTTCTTTCTTTTTTCTTTCTCTTCTTTCTTTTCCTCTCTCTTTCATTTATTCTTTCTTATTATACTTTAGAAACTTAAAAGTTTGAAATATTAAGCATTAACTCAAGTTTTACATTTTTCTTAAATTTTTGGGTGAAGAATACTAGTTCTTAGTATTAATTGAGGTTGGCAGAGTAAGAAAAACTGATGGCAGTAGGGTTACTACTGTTGTCGTTACAATTACTGTATGAAAGTCTCACCAAGTTGTGTTTCACCCTACCACCTGGACACGGAATCTCTTCACTGGTCTTTCGCTTTCAGGATTCTGTTCCCTTACTTGTATTCAACTGTGTTAAAATTAAAAAATTTTCTCAAAACAATTTTTTTTGTTTTGTTTTTGCCTCGGTTCAGAAAATGTTAAAAGCTGCCCTGGAGATATGATTTAAAGGCTGAGTCTCTTACAGACCAGGGCCTGGGTCCTTCACTAACCCAGGTTGCCTCCAGGGCATCTCTGTCCATCTGCCCAGAAGGTTCTGCCCAGCGTGGCCCTTGGTGGAGCCTCTGCTTCTTAAATCTTCTAGCATTTGTAGTTCATGTTATTTTGTATCTTTTGTCTTTGAAAATGATGCCTACCTGTCTCCCTCCTAGATCATCTCCCATGGCAGGTTCCCTCTGGCTTACAGCAACAGCAGCGACCACAGTGATGGGGATGTGCCTGGACCTTTCACCTGGTTTCCAGGTAGAGGGGAGGGCGGCCAGCTCAGAAAGCTGATGTAGATGAAAACGGACATGACCAGGCGCTGTAACGCTCTCTGCTAAATAAACACCTATTCCCTTGGCTCATGGTTGTGCTGTTTATTGAGATTTACATCATGGGTCGTGCATTAACTTTGTGTATCTGCACTACTGGTTACACTTTTTTAAAAAATTATTTATCTATTTATTTTTTTAAATTTATATATGACAGCGGAATACATTACAATTCTTATTATACATATAGAGCACAATTTTTCGTATCTCTGATTGCATAAAAAGTATATTCACACCAATTCGTGTCTCCATACCTGTACTTTGGATGATAATGATCATCACATTCCACCATCATTAATAACCCCATGCCCCCTCCCTTCCCCTCCCCCCCCGCCCTATCTAGAGTTTGTCTATTCCGCCCATGCTCCCCCTCCCTACCCCACTATGAATCAGCCTCCTTATATCAGAGAAAACATTTGGCATTTGGTTTTTTGGGGGATTGGCTAACTTCACTTAGCATTATCTTCTCTAACTCCATCCGTTTACCTGAAAATGCCATGATTTTATTCTCTTTTATACCCTAGAGATTAGTGCTCTATTGAGTATCATTCCATTGTGTATATCTGCCACATCTTTTAATCCATTTATCTATTGAAGGGCACCTACGTTTGTTCCACGACTTAGTGATTTGCGATGCTATAAACATTGATGTAGCCATGTCCCTGTAGTATGCTGTTTTTAAGTCCTTTGGGTATAGACTGAGGAGAGGAATAGCTGGGTCAAATGATGGTTCCATTCCCAATTTTCTAAGAAATCTCCATACTGCTTTCCATATTGGCAGAGTATGAGTGTGCTTTTCCCCCACATCCTCGCCAACACTTTGTCTTCATAATGGCTGCCATTCTGATTGGAGTGAGATGATATCTTAGAGTTTTGATTTGTATTTCTCTGATTGCTAAAGATAATAAGAATTTTTTCATATATTTGTTGATTAATTGTTTATCATCTTCTGAGAAGTGTCTCTTCAGGTCCTTGGCCCATTTATTGAAAGGATTATTTGTTTTTTTGGTGTTTAGTTTTTTGAGTTCTTTATATACCCTAGAGATTAGTGCTCGATCTGAAGTGTGAGGGGTAAAGATTTGCTCCCAAGATGTAGGCTTTCTGTTCACCTCACAGATTGTTTCTTTTGCTGAGAAGAAATTTTTATTTTGTGTCCATCCCATTTATTGATTCTTGATTTTAATTCTTGTGCCACAGGAGTCTTATTAAGGAAGTTGGGGCCTAATCCCACATGATGGAGATTAGGGCCTACTTTTTCTTCTATTAGACTCAGGGTCTCTGGTTTTATTCCTAAGTCCTTGATCCATTTTGAGTTGAGATTTGTGCATGGTGAGAGATAGGGGTTTAATTTCATTTTGTTGCATATGGATTTCCAGTTTTCTCAGTACCATTTGTTGAAGAGGCTATCTTTTTCCCCAATGCATGTTTTTGGCACCTTTGTCTAATATACGATAATTGTAGTTTTGTGGGTTAGTCTCTGTGTCCTCTATTCTGTACCATTGGCTTACCAGTCTATCTTGGTGCCAATACCATGCTGTTTTTGTTACTATTGCTCTGTAGTATAGTTTAAGGTCTGGTATAGTGATGCCACCTGCTTCACTCTTTCTGCTAAGGACTGCTTTAGATATTCTGGGTCTCTTACTTTTCCAGATGAATTTTATAATTGCTTTTACTATATTTCTATGAGGAATGTCATTGGAATTTTGATTGGAATTGCATTAAATCTGTATAGTGCTTTTGGAAGTAGGGTCATTTGATAATATTAATTCTGCCTATCCTAGAGCAAGGTAGATCTTTTCATCTTCTAAGGTCTTTTTTGATTTCTTTCTTTAGGGTTCTGTAATTTTCATTATGTAGATCTTTTACTTCTTTCATTAAGTTGATTCCCAAGTATTTTATTTTTTTAAGGCTATTGAAAATGGGGTGGTTTTCTTCGTTTCCCTTTCTGAGGATTTGTCACTGATATACAGAAATGCCTTTGATTTGGGGTGTTGATTTTATATCCTTCTACTTTGCTGAATTCATTTACTAGTTCTAGAAGTTTTCTGGTGGAACTTTTAGGCTTTTATAGGTATAGACTCATATCATCAGCAAATAGTGCCAATTTGAGTTCTTCTTTTCCTATGTGTATCCCTTTAATTTCTTTAGTCTAATTACTCTGGCCAGTGTTTCAAGAACTATGCTAAATAGAAGTGGTGAAAGAAGGCATCCCTGTTTTGTTCCAGTTTTTAGAAGGAATGCCTTCAATTTTTCTCCATTTATAATGATGGTGGCCTGGGGCTTTGCATAGATAGTCTTTATGATGTTGAGATATGTTCCTGTTATCCCTAGTTTTTCTAGTGTTTTGAACATAAAGTGGTGCTGTATTTTGTCAAATGCTTTTTATGCATCTATTGAAATGATCATATGATTCTTATCTTTAAATTTATTGTTGTGATAAATTACATTTATTGATTTCTGAATGTTGAATCAACCTTGCATCCCTGGGGTGAATCCCACATGATCATGGTGCACTATCTTTTTGATATGTTTTTGTATTCAATTTGCCAGAATTTTATTGAGGATTTTTGCATCTATGTTCATTAGAGCTATTGGTCTGAAGTTTTCTTTCTTTGATGTGTCTTTGCCTGGTTTTGGAATCAGAGTAATGTTGGCTCATAGAATGAGTTTGGAAGTGCTGCCTCTTTTTCTATTTCCTGAAGTAAATTGAAGAGTATTGGTATTAGTTCTTTTTTAAAGGTCTTGTAGAACTTGGCTGTGTATCTGTCTGGTCTTGGGCTTTTCTTGGTTGGTTAAAATCATCCAAAATTATTGTGTTGTGGTCTATTTGACACATTTGATTATGTCTGCTATTTGACACTTTTGATTGTGTCTGTCACTTGAAATTGATCTGTTTAAATTGTGTATTTCATCCTGATTCAATTTGGGAAAATTATATGTCAATGCCTTTGATATTTTCTATTTTATTGGACTATAAGTTTTCAAAATAATTTCTAATTATTTTCTGTATTTCTGTAGTGCCTGTTGTGATATTTCCTTTTTCATCTCATATGCTAGAGTTTTGAGTTTTCTCTCTCCTTCTCTTCCTTAGCATGGCTAAGGGTCTGTCAATTTTATTTATTTTTTCCAAAGAACCAACTTTTGTTCTGTCAATTTTTTCAATTCTTTCTTTTGTTTCAATTCATTGATTTCAGCTCTGATTTTAATTATTTCCTGTCTTCTGCTTCTTTTGGTGTTGATTTGTTCTTTTTCTAGGGCTTTGAGATGTAGTGTTAAGTCATTCATTTGTTGACTTTTTTTTTTTAAAGGAATGAACTCCATGCAATGAACTTTCCTCCTAGAACTGCTTTCACATGTCCCAGAGATTTCGATATGTTGTATCTGTGTTCTCATTCACTTCTAAAAATTTTTAATCTCCTTGATGTCTTCTGTAACTCATTGTTCATTCAGTAGCATATTATTTAGCCTCCAGGTGCTGGAATGGATTTTATTTCTTATTTTATCATTGACTTATAATATCATTCCATTGGATAGAAGGCAGGGTAGTATCTCTACTTTTTTATATTTGCTAAGAGATGCTTTGTGGCATAGTATATGGTCTATTTTAGAGAAGGATCCATGTGCTACTGAGAAGAAAGTATATTCTCTCATTGAAGGATGGAATAGTCTATATATGTCAGTTAAGTCTAAGTTATTGGTTGTATTATTGGGTTCTAGAGTTTCTTTGTTCAGCTTTTGTTTGGAAGATCTATCTAGTGATGAAAGAGGTGTGTTAAAGTCACCCAAAATTATTATGTTGTGCTCTCTTTGACTCTTGAACTTGAGAAGAGTTTGTTTGATGAACATAAGTGCTCCATTGTTTGGGACATATATATTTATAATTGTTAAGTCTTGTTGGTGTATAGTTCTCTTGAATCTTTATCCTTTTTGATTGACTTTACTTTGAATTCTACTTTATTTGATATGAGGATGGAAACCCTGGTTTGCTTCTGCAGTCCATGTTGAGTGGTATGATTTTTCCCAACCCTTTACCTTTAGTCTGTGGATGTCTTTTTCTATGAGATGAGTGTCTTGGAGGCAGCATATTGTTGGGTCTTTTTTAATTTTTATTTTTTGATCCAATCTGCTAGTCTATGTCTTTTGATTGGTGAGTTTAGGCCATTAACATCCAGGGTTATTATTGAAACACGATTTGTATTCCCAGCCATTTTTGTTTATTTTTGGTATGTAACATTTCTCCTCTGATTAGATTTTCCTTTAGTGTAATCCTTCCCTCTGCAGATTTTCATCATTGTTTTTCATTTTCTCTTCTTGGAATATTTTGCTGAGGATGTTGTGTATTGCAGGCTTTCTCATTGTAAATTCTTTTAACTTTTGTTTATCATGGAAGGTTTTTATTTCATCATCAAATCTAAAGCTTAGTTTTGCTGGATATGATTCTTTGTTGATATCCCTTTTCTTTCAATACTTGGTATATGTTGTTCCACAATCTCCTGGCTTTGAGGGTCTGGGTTGAAAAATCTGCTGAGATATGTATTGGTCTCCCCTTATATGTGACCTGATTCGTCTCTCTTGCAGTTTTTAAGATTCTATCCTTATTCTCTATGCTAGGCATTTTCATTATAATGTGCCTTGGTGCAGATCTGCTGTAATTTTGTACATTTGATGTCCTGTAAGCTCTTGTATCTGTTTTTCCAATTTGTTCTTCATGCTTGGGAAATTTTCTGATACTATCTCATTGAAGAGATTGTGCATTTCTTTGGTTTGAAACTCTGTGCCTTCCTCTTTCCCAATGACTCTTAGATTTGGTCTTTTGATGCTGTCCCCTAATTCTTGGATATTCTGTTCATGGTTTCTAATTTCCTTCACTGTGTGATCAACTTTATTTTCCAGATTATATACTTTGTCTTCATTATCTGATGTTCTGATGTGATTTTCTTTCAAGTGATCTAGTCTGTTGGTCATGCTTTCTATTGGGTTTTTAAATTTGATTTATTGTATCCTTCATTTCAAGGATTTCTGACTTTTTTT